TGAAATCGATTAATATTATTTTATATTTAACTAAAAAAATAATTTATAATAATTTTAATGGATTTGATTTTATTCGTATGCCTCAATATTACGGAGCGGCTATTTGCGATTATTCCGTTCATGAATAATCTAGATTTTCCGATTCATTTTAAAGATGCCTCGTGCGGTTTCTCTAGAGGTTCTAAAATCTCGGAGATTTTAGAATCTTTCGGAAGAATTAAAAAGACTCTAAAATCTCCGAGATTTTTGGCGCGGGCGCCGCGAAAATCTCGGAAATTTTTGGTCGCGCGACCCTTGCTTCCGGAGGGATCTTCTATATGATTTATATCTCTTTGGATATCTGCGTGGCTGCTCGGCGGAACGCATAGATCTGAGACGGAGAGCCAATATCTTTAGAATCTATAGGTTGGTCGCTCAATAGAATATATAGAATTGGGGCAGATATAAAACCTTTCAGAATCTATTCGTTGGCGATTTTTATTATATGAGATCTTAAAAATCTATTTTTCATTCTTGAATATGCGAACTTCTATATTATTCATCGGATTTCTCATTATATATATTCTCAAATAAATATTTTCCGCTATTATAGATAGCGGATGAATTCTAATATTTTTTTAAATAAATGAAATCGATTTAGATTCTTATTAATATCAATAGAAAATATTTGAAAAGATCATTATAATCAATTGAATTTTAATTTAAGGACGCGCCCAAGAGAGGCGATCCCAGAAGGGCACGTCTCGCCTCGAGGCGGCGCCTAGGGCATTAAATATATTTTCAAATCTAATTGAAATCGAATGAAAATCTTTTTGGAATCGATTGAAATTTTAATATACATTCTTTCAATTGAAAATCGAATTAAAATGATATTAGAATTACTTGAAATTTAATTCAAATTCTATCTAAATTTATATGGAATCGATTTCAATTAATTTCAAATCAATTGAAATCGAACGGAATTCGTTTAAATACGACGAAAATTGGGATAATATCAAATAAATCCGTATTCAATTCTTATATACAGAATTTTTTAAATAAATTCATATGAAAATTCATTAGGATTTAGAATATCAAGCAATTCTCGAATTCTTTTGGATTTTTCTTTGATCCCATCCTAATGATTCAAAATCTTCTCTAAATCATCATGGTCTGATTCTTTTTCAAAATAATATAGATTCTTTTAAAATATTCATGAAGAATTTTTAGGGCTCTGGATTCATTATTAGTTATTAGGGAGATTTTATTAATAACGAGAAATGAATATTTTATATCTATATTATATTTGATTAAAGATTCGATTAGATAAATATATCATTAGAAGAGGGAGATATATTCAAGATAGAAGAATTTTTTTGAACTTATCTATTTTCGTCTTCTATTAATATCTTCCGATGCTCTGATTTTTATTTATCTTCTCATCTTATTGATCTATTGATATTGATCTATTGATCAATAAGATGAGAATTTATGAGAAAAGATTTTATATCAGAATCGGACGATTATTATATAATTTCGTAGAAATTTCAAATTATATAAGGAAAATATAGGATCAATTATTTGAGATTTCTTCTTTATTCTTAATAGAAAATAATTGAAAATATTAGGACGCTTTTGATTCTTATATAAGAGGAAGATTTTTATATTCGTAGAATAATAAGAATATAGAGAATGAGAATATTAAATATAAGTTCTATCTCTCTTATATATAAAAGAGATTATCTAAGAATATTTCATTATATATATAAATATATAAAATTCAATAGATATTTCAAATCTATTATGAATAATAAATTCATAAAGATATTAGAAGAATCAGAAATTCTATTCTTATAAAAAGAATAGAATTATCAATTCTCCGGAATAAAAGACCTTTCATTTGATTAGAAAGAAATAGAGGTTCTAATTCTTTCTAGATATTTCTTTTGAAGATATAGAAATTCAATAGAATCAATATGAATTTATATTCTTTTCTCATATAGAAAATGAATATCAAATGATTCTATATCTGTTTTCTCGAATCTTGAATTCTATCTATATATAATTTCTTTATATATAATATTCTTATGATCTCTAATAGATACGATATTCTGATCAATATCTTCTTATTTTCTTTTCTTCAATAATTCTATTTCTCGAATATATCAAGATTCGAATAATAGAATTTCAAAAAATAGGTACGAAGATGACAAGATAATCTCCTATTGAAATGATAGAGATGATCGTCGCATATTATCGCATATTAAGAATTATCATTGAATTCGTATATATATGATAGGAATTATCAAATGGATTCGTGATTCATTATTCATGCTAGGATATAAGAGAAATTTTAATATATAAGCAAATCAGGCACGCAAGTTTCAATATATACGACAATTTTCGAGAAGATAATCATCTCTTTAAAAAAGAATCAATTAGGAAGATATATATTATATTGAATTAATTAATTATATAGAACTAGAATTTATACTAGATATGAGAAAATGATAATCAAAATCTATTTTAGATGAGAAAATAGATCTCTACGACATAATATGAATTCTGGAAAATATCATTTATTTATATTACAATATAATTGAATAGATTATTCTTTTGAAATTCGACGAAAGAATTTTCGAATTCGAATAAAGATATCTTAATCTCGATATCTTCATAATGAAAATTTTGAATTTGATGATTTCAATCATTCTAATCTCCAAATTATGATTTATACGAGATATAATAGATATATATACACAATTCAATAAAATATCGTAATTATATTTATCGAATATATCTTAGAGATAAAGAAATCCTTCAGCTCTGCGATTATAATTTTCAAAAAATTGAATTTAAAATATTTTATCTTTTTTCATTCTTAAGATATTTCTCATTAATCGGAATGATAATAATAATAATCTCCCTTCTTATAATTCCCTTTCAACTAATTCGGACGTCTTAATTCGATTTATTAATATATGAAATTATTGGGAGATCTATCGTGCTATTTGATCTACTAATCTATGAAATTAATAATATCATATCTTATCGATTTCATATTCTCTATTTATCTATTGAAAAAGAAAATTTATCAATATAAGAATCTGATAATAATCTTTCAATTATATGATTTGATAAGAGAACTTATCGAGAGATCAATTTAGATACGTATCGATTTATGAATTCTCGAATTTATCTTTCTTATATATCAATCTATTTATATATAAAAATACTTAGAAAATTATCATTATATATGACGATCTCATATTATTAGATGATAATAAATAATTTGATTTTTTCTCAATCTATATAATATATTAGAAACGATCTATTACCTATAATATCGGAATATATTTTTTCAGAAAATCTATAGCGGAAAATCCAATGACCAAATAATATATAAATTCGTATGAGGAATCCGATGAATTATCGAGATTTGAAGACCTCCGCCCCGGTTCCGATCCGCCGCGCAGACAATCAAAGAGAGAGAAATAATTCAAATTCTTGAGGGATTTTTAGCGTCTTATCCCGCCATCCAATCCGATTTTTCCGTCTCATTTATCTCTCTTGGATTATCTGCACGGCCATTCGAGAAACGCATAAATCTCCGTAACCAGATACGACCGTTCTATAAATTGAAAACAAAAAATGGGCTCTGCATCCCAGACCTACGCATTCTTCCGAATAATGATTCCGATATCCTAAGAGAGATAAATCGCACAGAATATATAAACTCGCACGTGAATCTCGACGAATAATCAATATATAAGAATCGCACGTGACCAAATCAACTAACCTAATAGATTCTAAAAGATTTTGGATTTCCGCCCAGAGAGCCGCCATACAAATAGCCAACAGAGAGAATTTAATCGAAATTTCCTAGGATTTCGGGCCGCGTGACCTCTCCATCCAATCCGATCTTCCCTCCCTCATTTATTTTTCTTTCATTACCTATGCGATAATTCTTCGGAATATTCATATATCCCAATGCATAAATACGTCCAATCTTTATATTCTAAAATATTCTCGTCTCCCATCCCAAATCTATGTTCTCCATCGAATAGATAGCCAAAGAGAAATAAATCTAGTAAGATATGAAAAATATATCTATTCCTTATCTAATTATCATTTTCGTTCATAAAATTTAGATTCATCTAGAAATTATTCTATTAAAATCATATTTTCCAAATTTCAGAAATATATTTTTCTATTCTTTCAAATATATCATCTCATAATTGAGAAATTATCAAATTCATCGAAGAACTATATCATATATCCTTCCAGAAGAAAATTATTTGAAAATATTATCTCGCTAAATAAAGAATTATCATTTCGCATATTTCAATCATAATAATTCATATTTTAGAATATCTTAAATCAATATTTTTTATTCATATATATTCTATACGAATATTTTATATATTCCTAGATATAAATAGACGATAATACAGAAATATATATATATATATATCGAAGATTTGATTTCATAGCTTTTCTCTGTAGAATTGATAGATTTTAAATATATGATATATTCTATCCGTTCCTAATATTCTATGAATTTCCTCGTCTCTCAAGAGAATTCTATTCTTCTTTATATAGAAGAAATAATTGATTCATATTGATTCATTCTTAAAATTATTTATGAGATAGATTGATTATAAATCTACCTTATAAATAATGGAGATATCTCATCTATCAATCTCAGATTTTCAATTTCAGATTTCTTGCAGATATTATAGAAAATTCTCTGTCTTGAATCTCTAAAATCGAATTTTATTGAAAAATAGATCAAGGGATTGGATCGGATCGTTGAAACCTGTGATATAGAATTGAAAGGACGGATAACGAATCCTAATATCGTATTAATTTCGTTCGCTTGCATTGGACCGCGGACAAGTACGTGATCAAAATAAGCGAAGGCTACCTAGTCGGGAGCTCTACGCTCTAGTCTGTGATTGAACGATATTGATGTGATGAATTTTGCGGGATCGATTCTATTGGGGATGGATTGTTGTTTCTCATCCTGAAAATTCATCGTGGCGCAGCACCGCTGCAGCCATCGCCTCACCCAATGCCTCTCCGCTTAGGACTGCAGCTTCCACGCCGCTGGCATCCTTGCAGGAGAGCAGCTCTGCTTTATAGGTGTTGGGATGTGTTGGGTGTACGGTTTCGGGTTCAAAGACTTGGATCTAGCCTTCAGGGAGTTACGGCTTACGGATTCAAGGCTTACGCAGGGCTCAGGACTGGTACAGTATCCTCCGTGGCGAAGAAGTCGCCACAAATTCCAGCCAGCCGGGTTGGGTCGAAGCGGAACGAATCCTTGGTTCCATCGTACATTCTGGGACAGCTTATCTTTCAAGAGGTTTGCTGTACCATGTCATGGGAAACAATAGCCAACAAAAAGATCAAGCAAAACACATGGAGATTTTTTGGGCCCTGAGCCCATCTTGAACCCATCCTGAGCCCTGAACGGTTGAACAGCCGAAAGTCCGGGAGCTGTTTGCTTGGCTGCGCATGATCCCATGCAAACACAGAGCTGAAAGCCGCTGGTGGGAAGCACGCATCCGATTGCGTGGACGTGTCCTCTGAACATTGTGGGGCGGGGGTGTCTCAGAAAGAACAAGTTGGCTTGCATCTGTAACATCCCGACGAACGGCGCTATCTTTATACAAGCCATATAAACCTTAAGTCCTCGTGCAATTACCTCGGCTCTGCCCGCGGCTGGGGTAGAGGCATTGCGGTTTGACGAACCCCTGCATGTGCAAAGTTCCATGGTTCTCGGGTTCTCGACCTGCATCAACTGGCAGCAGGCATACTAAAATGAATATGCCGTGCTATCTGGGTTGCATTTGCAGTACGCAAAAGCTGGTCTGCTTTTAAGTCCTTCACCTCTCAGCAGCCGGCAACATTTACACTGGGTCTTCTTCCACTGATCTTTCCATGGGGTCCTTCCTCTCCTCAATAAAGAACACATAAGAACACCATATCCGATAATCCCCTGAACAGCTTCTGACACCTATGAGGAGGGGCAGAGGGTTGAGGGTAACGTCTGACTTCCCAAGCCCAAAGCCCTAGACCCTAAACCCTAAACCCGGAGGCCGTAAACATCCCTTGAGAGCCTGTAATCTATGTCCGATTTTGGTCCTTGAGCAGACGTCCAATAATTCGATAAAACTCCGAAAGTAGCTCCTGCTTCACCTGGAAGGGAGTGTCCATGGTGACCCTAAACCCTAAACAAGGGTGTTGGGAGGTTAGGCTTTCAGGTTTGTGGCTCAGGTTTAAGGCTTTCGCGGTCAGGGTTCAGGGTTGAGGGCCAGGGATCAAGGATTGGATTGGATTGTTCATGTTTTCAGGGCTAGGGTTTGGGTTGGGATGTAGGGCTGGGCGCCACAGCTTCAAGAGCATTTGGCGAGTTTTTTTCTGTCAGGTGGAGCCCATACCAAGGCAGCTCTGGAAAACGACAGTCTTACATTTTACGCGGAACACAAGCATACAACTGTCTGAGGCTGATAAAATATCGGGGTCTATATTGGGGTCCCCTTATTTAGGGAAACTACCACATGAAACAAGAAAAGCAGACCCCTATCGACTGCAGTCCGCTAGCCAGTGGTTTGTGTGGGGCTCTGTGTTTGCGTATGGGCTGGCCTTGGCACTGAGATGTTTCTGGTCGTGAAGATAAGATGGCTGAGGCTGCAACTGGGAAAGACTGCAGTTGTGGTTGCTCATGTGGTTTTCAGTTCATCGTCCGGTGCTGTTTGTTGTCATTTGCTACCCTACCTGACGACCAGGCTTCTCAAAACCAGTGCAGCCCTGAGTATGTGGCACCCCATAACAAGAAAGGGGCGATCTCGATCCCTGGGCTTCTTCGTGAGCAGCCCGTTTCCTTCGACGAAATGTTCGTTCACCATCCCTGAAAAACTTGTATCTCATGCACCTCACAGAAAACCTACGTAAGATACCATACCCTAAAAGGAGGGCATGATCTTCCTCTATATTGGGTACCATGGTATACCCATATTAAATACGGCTCACATAGATTTTACACCCTAAACCCTAAACCCTAAACCCTACACTAAGCCAGATAGCCATCCCCAAGTCGCCTTGGCTTCGTCCTTCAGCATCTCACCATCCAGATTCATTTTTGCATACTCTACAGTGGAGTGGGCGACCCACAGGTCATTGAGCCTGGCTTTTAGGGTTTAGGGTTTAGGTGGACTTTGCCAAACTACTGCAGACCCATGATTCATGGACCCCCTCCTTTGAAGGGCCGGCCTTAATATTAGGATCCCTACTATAATTCCCATTAAGGGGAGGGGTTTATGAATCAGGGGTCTACATCATTTCAAACTATAACACCCAACGCCAAAACCGGAAGGCTCAACACACGAAGACTATGCGGATTGGTGTTGCCCACCAGCATTCGACCGATTCTGTTGTTCGTGCTGTGCTGCCCCTCCGGCACATCTAGAGGGAGGGATTCTCTATAAGAGCGTGTAGGTCTATCATTAGGGTTTAGGGTTTAGGGTTTAGGGTTTTAAGAGCGTGTATGTCTATCATGTGTGTGTTTATCAGGCTTTGCTATCCGCCGCTGCCTTCGTCCCCCTACATGAACATGTGCTTCTTATCAGCAACGCCGGGGTCAGCCCGTGCCAGGGGGTTGAGCCTACTTTTCAAATGTAGGACCCTTGTGCATCTGGATCACTGATGAGGCCATTGGCGCCTGAATATGGGTGGCTGCTTGCTTCGGGAACATGGCAGATTACAGATTTCCAGGCTCATTTCATTTTATCTGATCTGCTTTGTGGCATTCGTGAAGATCTGCGGGGACGTAATACCTGGATGGCCCCTGAACACAAAGGACAGTACATTCAAGTACAAGGCAAGGAGTTTTGCCCAAGCCGACATACATGAGAGTCAGTTCATCCCCGAACTTCCCAGTCCCTGTTGTCCCGCTCATCACCGATGCCATTTAGGGTTCAGGGTTCATACTGCCCTTCATTCTCGCTCATCCCTTAATGGTGCCCCCTTTTGTCCACCCCTGCTCTTCCGTCATGACGTGTTCTCCATTGCTGCATTTTGTACCCCTCATATAATAATCAATGTTGTAACAATAATACTCACGATAACACGGCCAATGCTATTAATGATAACAATAATACTGATTGGAAGAATAGCCTCATTAATAACAATACTAATAATTCCAACACTAATCAATATTAAAGTTAGGGTTCATGGCTTCACTTCGTGCCTCTGCATGGTTATGCCTAGCTCGTCCCACCAATAATCTTACCTTGGGTTAGCTAGGAATGAGGGAATGGATCCTGGTAGTGTAGGGTTCAGGGTTTAGGGTTTAGGGTTTAGAGTAGGGAATGACTGGATCCTTACAGGAGTCCCTATATAACGCATCATAGTAATGTCCATTTTTTCCATTCCTTCTTAGCCCGCAACCCCTAAACCTATATAACCCATTATAGTTTCCATTTTTTCATTCCCAGCTAACCGAAGAGCAGTAATGTTGCACCGGGTCTAAGGAAGAGACTTTGTTTAACACGGCCGCCGGTTATTCCGTTTCAGGCCGTTGTTGGGAAGACCCTGTTTAATGCGTTTGGTTTTGTGGCCCTACAAAAAATCTCTGAGAAGGCGTTCACTCGTACTGCTTTCTAATTGAATCCTCACAGTTGCGTTACGTCTGGCACTACTCGTGCTACTGCTTATGCTAGTACTATCTAGTACTACCACTGATACTACAGCTGGTAACAGGCGTGAAGAGAGCCCTTACTGACGACGCCTAACTTTTGATTTTCTGGAGGCCCTGCTGTTAGGGGGGGAGGGGGGGGAGTGTAAAGATTACGTAAACAGAGTGTAACATTATCCCTCTCCACCATGGCCCTGAAATTTGTACAAGCAGAATTGTGGGTTTATATCGGGGTAATATTGTGGTAATATTGGGATGAAGGAAAATCGAATGGAAACTACTATAGCGGGTTATATATTAGGAGGGATCTTGCTTGAAAAGAATGAAACCCATTCCAACGGCAGGTCCAGTTGCCTTGCTTCTGCAGAGGACCGCTGGCGCCCTGGCTTCATGCTCTCGTGAACCAGCAGTCTCAAAGGACTTTGCCTATCCACCTGCGGTCTGGAAAAAAGAGAATGTAAGCTCATAACCTCTGTCATGGTCTTCTTGCGCCTTCCTGCAGGCATTTTGACTCCTTATTACAAACCCTAGACCGAACCTTCTACCCGAAACTCTGGAATCATGGGATTTATCATTAATTCGTTAACACCCTCACCCCCACCCCGCCCCGAAGCTCATCCCAATTCCAAACAGAGGGGATGGTTTCCTACAGGGAGAGTTAGTAGGGGGGGTAGTAGTAGAGTTATATTCGATGTATGTTGGGGTTAATTCGGGACAATGGAAAAGAAAATGGACACTACCATATTGGGTTATGGGGGTTAGAAGTACTTCCCATGATCCGACAGATCGCCCCGTTCCTGCGCCAGCACGTCCAAAACTGAAAGGTCTTGCAACCCTGCGAGTGGTTCTGGAAATGCTAGAAGAAGAACCACAGCCTGGGAGAGCATATTTGGGTTCCTTCAAGGGACACCTTAGGGCCTATAGTTATATGAGCCATAGTCTTAACTCCTAGTATCCCCCTTAATGAGCCCTATAGTAGTCCCCTATATAATCCCCCATATAACCCCGTTTCAGGAGTTTGGACTATGGCTCATATAAAGTGCTTTGGGGTTTTGCTAAGGCATGGGTACCTTTGCACAACCCGTTAGTAGGAATCCCTGAGGGGCGCACCTCTGTGGACCCCAACTCACTTGCGCTGGGTAGTTGTAATCTTCCACCTGCATGAGCCAAATCCAGCTCTGACAGCACACTGTATTTGTTGGGCTGAATTAGCAGCTTGTCGGAAAGTACCAACACCTTGGTCTTGCAAAGCGTCTCAGAGGCTGGACAGAGTTTGCCATGAAATTTCCTGTGGACCCCTGCCTGAAGACCCATATTTGTTTTGGGCTGTTTGGGAGGACAACGTTTTGCATCTACTTATCCGCCGGTTCATAGGTTTGAATCTGAAACCCTAGACCCTAAGCCTTTGAAAGCTTTTCTCAAACCAGACTTGGGAACATCGACCGCTGTTGAACTCGAAGCCTGCGAACCTCGGTTGGTGGAGCGGATGACCCACTTTCCGGTGTCCCCCTCCTCGGGTGAGAATGACGCATTGTTGACATGCTCCCCAAATCTCATGGCGTTCTGGCCATCTTCCTCCAGTGTCGTCACTATCCAACGAGCAATCGAGTTGCTGAATGGTTGGCCAACGTATCGGGGCTCTGATGGCCCCGCCGCTGCTGCGTCAGGCCATAGCGCAGCCACGCCAGCTTGCATCCACTCTTTTAAAGCTCCATCACGGAAGCGGCCGGTCCGTGCAGTAAAGAACGGCGCGGCATGGTCGAACGAGATGTCCTGTCTATCATCCCCCCAAGCAGACATGCATCCCCCTCCAGTGAACGGTTGTCACTGTTGAAAAGGATTCTTCACCCAATGTGCAAACCATACCAAACAGCTTGCAAGTGCATGGACTGTTGGCTTCCTCCTGCAAAGCAAAACGATAAAGCCTTTCCACTGCAGAAAACCACCCCGAGGGCATCCTGCATTTATATTAAAGCAATCTTTTTCTGCCTGGGGGCGTATTCTTCCTGCAAAAATTGGGCACCTCGGTGTTTATAGATGATGTTTCCATCCTTGGGGCCCCCTGCGTGCAGCCACATCTGTATGGCAAAGAGAATTCAAGTAGGGTCTAACCCAGCACTTGATATCCGTTCTAGGGTTTCCGTTTGCGAGCGTTTCTGTAACTTCTGCTGTTGAAGCTCTGTGACTCTTTTAGTGATCATTGAGTATACTGCATACTGTGAGGCTGTAAGGTCGAAGAGATAGTGAAACCCAGCAGGGGCCAGCCCAGGATCAAACGCGGTGTTGGTACACTATCCTATAAGTACAGTTGTCTGTTGTAATTGCCCGAGATCGCGCCAGCTTCAGAAATGTCACAAGGCTGCCATCCTATGACTAGCTAAGACTTCTCATGCAGGACCATAACTTCAGGGACATGACGGTGTTGCTGATGAGAAACTTCCCCACATGTCTTCAGTAAATAATTGCGCCTTTGGACAACATTTCTTGTAGCAGACCTGTAACTTCAGTCGTTCTGCCAAAAGGCAGGCTTCACTTGCTCTGTTGCGACAAGTACGACCCAACGTTCACACAAAATCATCTTTTCAAACGCTGCTAGCACTGGCACTGAAATAGCTGCTAGTGCTGCTTCCAGGACACTATCCCTGACCCAGCAACTACGAATATCAGGAAGCAGTTCTCAACCCCAGCTAGGCGCTGAACGACATAAAGGTATTTCCAAAATGTGGATTCTCCTGACATTTGCACGAAAGTGCTATGACATGCTTCATTGTTGGGAATCACCTCTAATCATCAATATGCAGAAGCCCCAAAGAAGGTCCTCACCCTCCGCCTGCACGCGACGTCGTGCTGTCCGTCCGCCAGGTCCACGGCCCCACTCGAATACCACTACCCGTGCACTCTGCGGGGGCAGGAGCTTCAGCAGCGTCCTCAACAGGGAGAAGAAAGGAGTTCCGCGCGAACTACTTGTGGTGTGGAGAGATCTTGTGCAAACTCCATCATCGACCCTTCGACCATGGTCTGTCATATCTGACCAAAAACGAAAAACAGGTGTGGGAGCAGGGACCATGCGTTGCATGGTATGAATTTGGACAAAGCTCAGCGGGTCTTCATGTCTTGGGCTTTGCAAGATATTGATGCACATTGATGCACCAAAGAACACAACTACTGTAAGGACCGTGCCTTACCCCCAGCCGCTAGTTTGGCCAAACCCGGTTCCTTGCACAGGAAAGCCCTGACAGGCCAGCACCCACAACGCCAATCGTGATGGGCGTTGCCATGGCAGTCCGGCGGCTGTGGGCTCCTCTAGATGGATGGACGGCTTGGGGGCCCAATAAGTGCGGGTGCCATGTCGGCCCAGCAAACTGGGCTGGTGGCATTGCTCGCAAATGCTGCGGGTCATGCTATCTGCAACCTAGGGCTCAAACATAAGACCTTATCTAGACCTTAGGAGGACCCCCCGCCCTGCAATAGTGGAAAAATAAGAATATAAGAGGGCCGTAATATAATCCCTATTAAACTGTTATAGTCACTATTACTGGCTGGGGGGTCCACCTAATCTAGACCACATGGTGTCCGTCAGTACTTATGCTCAACGTTCTCTTGTGTACCAGTACTGCAATGCCAGCTGGGGAAGGGTCTTCCGCAGGCATGCTTGGAGCTGGGCACAAAAAGCCAAACGAACTACACAAAAACACATATACGTTTTCCAGAGCTGGGCAAAAAAGACAAAAACGCATGCATAGACCAAATCTGTTTTCCAGAGCTGGGCCCCAAAGCTGAAAAGGACTACAGAAAATGACTCTGTTTCGCAGGGGGTGCCCCAAATTATAAGCTTTTAAAGCCATTTTGAGGAGAGCTCTTTGCCGGCTATCCTTGAAGCCTCTCTGTTCCCAGGGATTGGTCAGGGCTCCCGCTCCGACAAGCCCTAGGAAATGCAAATTGCATGGCGCAAAAATTGAAGCGGAAACTTGCCCAAAAACCGGACAAAATTCGCCCCAAACTGCGCGTCAGCATTGATCTTGTTTCTCTGCAGTAGTCTCGTATGCAATGCAATGTCGCGTTGGAGAGTTAAAGAAGGGCGTCAAGTGGCAGCTACAAAAATGCTATCTAAACATGCCCTTTGAAATCCACGCGCTTACAAGTACGGTGACCGTATTGTTGCTGAGCTCTACTGGCTGGATCGGACTCTTTTTTGGAGCGCTGCGTCAGCTGCTTTCCAGGAACTTTCGTAGGGCCTGCCAAGTGCTGAAAATGCTCCAAACCCTACCTCTATAACCCTACGCCCTGCATGGCTACATTCCATTTTGTAGGCTGTCACAATTATGCCTTTTTTTTTGGGCACCCTAACCAATGAAGGGCCAGATGATACTAGGGAGCCGAAAAGGAACCATATTTTTGACAACTCCCCAGGTCATCTCCAGACCATGTGCCCCGTGCACGGTTGAAGGTTTAGGCCTGGCCTCACAATGGGGATTTTGCCTGAGAGTCTCATGTTCTCACATGTGCCCTTGTCTAAACTCCTAGTATCCCCCTCAATAACCCCTATAGTCGTCCCCTATATACTCTGAGGGATTTGGAACCCCAGCAGAAATTAAAATTTTCAGCTAAATATTAGGATTGTTGGTAACAGAAATTAATAAATATTCTCAGGAACCTTCTAGTATAATCCCCTATATAACCCCCCTTTAAGGAGTTTAGACTATGGCTCACATGTAACAAGGACTCCATACTTGAAACCCCCGGCCCCAAACCCATCCGAAGGTCTGGTCCGCAATGCCCACAATTAGAAAGGCGGGTACTCTTAGGGTTTAGGGTTTAGGGTTGTAGGGTTTAGGGTTTACATGCCAGGTTATGTAAGCTGTATGTGGGAAGAATAACTTGTTTATAAGGGCTGTGTGAGGCCTGTCTAGGGGAAACAGCCCACCTGCAAACTTCTTTGACTCTCATGGCTGGCACGACATAACAGCTGGAACACGGACATCTCCCATGAACAGCCATCAAGAAAGGAACTCATCGCAGCCACAAGGAGTACGAAAGGATTCTAAAGTAATTCTGTGTACTATCTTGAACTTTGGGTCTCCACTGGAGTTCGTAAAGATTCGCATACAAAACGTAGCTACCAAAATGGCAAACACATTCTTGTAGAGCCCGCAGGTTGCAACGGTAAAAGCCATGGAAACTTCTATAAAGCGGCTACTACAGAAATCCATCCCTGAATTACTCCCTCAACCCTAAAACCGTCAACCCAGTAGGAGTGAATTAAAAACGCATGGGGCTTTGCCTCATAAGCTTCGGCCACCTCGCGGAAGACTTTGGACGTCTCTTCGGCCTAGTGTGATGTAGCAAGGGATTAAGGGTTTAGGGTTTGAGGGTTTAGGATTATAATGCCGTTCCCCTAACGAACCACTAGGGTCTAAGGAGCTAGTATGCACTACTATATTAATCGCTTCCCCCTAATAATAAGCGACGTCCCCCCCCCCCCCTCCCCGTAATAATAAATATTCCGGGG